ATCATCACCACTATCATCATCATCACCACCATCATCATCACCACCGTTACCATCGTCACCGCTGCCAGCATCATCGTCAGCAGGAGAAGCACCAGCAGCAGCAGCCCGAATATCGCGGCATACAGCTTGGGGCTGCTCCGGGAGTGAGCTCAGTGCGGTGCATTGAATATTTCCCTGGAATCTCTTTGTTAAGAAAGAGCTGTTCTTATGCCCTCCCCCGCAGCAGCTCTGTTTCAGAGTCTCTTGACCCCTGTAAATATGAGGCTGCCAACGGCAATTGCTGCGCTTGTGTTGATCCTTTTCTTGGAGTGGTTGCAGCGGCGAGAGGCCTGCAGCGCGTGAATTTGTTTATGGAGATATTATTATACACTTTGTTTAGCCAGGGGCAAGCCCTGAAACCCGATATTTTCAGGCGACCACGATGGAGTGCATGCATACTGTTCTCGTTTGCACTGTCTCCTCTGTACTAAACAAGAGCTTCATCGTTCCTTTCTTCTTGGGGCCCTGCTTCCACTCCTCTTACCGCTGAGAATGCATGCAGCTTCTGTTGGGTGTATGAAGGGGGGCACTGACACGCACAGCCCCCCGCCCAGACAGCCCGCTGCTGCGCCGCCTGCAGGCCGCATGCATCCCTTCACCGAGCCCCCTCAGTATGCCTCGGAGTATCTCGTGGTGAGCTCCTCCACAGTAAAACTTTTGTGTGGGGGGAGTATAACAAGTTTCATAGTATTCATGGCTTCATAGTTAAGCTCTTACTCTATACTCAAAGCCTCACGAGTTCTCTTTTGTTTTTATCTTGCAGTGGAGATGTGCTGTAGTAAAATAATAAATAAGTAAACTGCGCCCCCTCTTCTTCTCTTTTCTTCTGAAATTATATTCNGTGCTGTAGTAAAATAATAAATAAGTAAACTGCGCCCCCTCTTCTTCTCTTTTCTTCTGAAATTATATTCACCTCTCAGCCCGAATGAAATAGTGCTAGCAACTACAAACAAAAAATATTAACTCGCCGATGCTGAGTGTTTTAGTTAGAGGGTTTACGAGGGGCATTACCGCCTAAAAATTATTTTGTTTTTTCTTTCGGGGTTATACAGCAGACGGCCCCGCTGTATACTCGGGGGTATAAACTCGTGCATGCAGAGATAAACTACGCGGGGCTGGCAAGAGCAGTATGAGCAGCAGCTCCCGTGGGGGGCAGCAGAGTCAACCCCCAGAGGAGCAGCAGAGCCCCCCCCAGCATGGTGCTGCGGGTACAGCTGCAGCAGCAGCAGCAGCAGCAGCAGCAGCTTGCTGCTGATGGGGAGAAGGAGAAGCTGTGGTATGAGTTGCTGCAGTATACTTGTTGCTGCTGTGCTGCTGCTGCTAGCGAGAAACATCTCCTTCTATCTAAAAATAAATAAACATTTTATTTATTGATTTGTGCTGCACTAAAGGTGCATGCAATCGATAAACATTTTCTTTACTTTCGTTGCTTCTGTCTGGTTCCCAGCAACAAAAAACAAAAAATAAAAAGTTTTTATATAAGTTTTTATATTCTCTCTATATGCTGATGTATATGTTTACATATATAGGTGCTGGGTTTGTCTCTCTATATATATCTATCTAACATATGCATTTCATTTGGCTAGTATGTGTAGATTGGGGTGTATATACAGCTCGTAAGAATACTGCGGTGTATATACAGCAGAGAAAAATAAAAAAAATAAAAATTTATGTTTGTCTCCCCCATACACTAGACAGCAACAATACATCTGCATATGAATAGCAATAGATAAAGATAAGGGGTTTAGGGTCAGCTAGTTGGTGTTTGTTGAGTGTGTTGAAGGGTCTTTTTAAATACAAAAAGGGTTTAGGGTTTAGGGTTTAGGGTTTAGGGTTTAGGGTTTAGGGTTTACGATTCCTGTTGCTGCAGCCAGGCAGCAGCAGCCCAGCTCAGGGGCAGAGAAAGCCCTAGGGTTTGACGGTAGGGGTCCCGCAACAAAAAAAGAAATAAACTTTATATAAACCCTTTAATAAAAGTGTTTATTATAAAAAAAACACGAGGGTTTAGGGTTTAGGGTTTAGGGTTTAGGGTTTAGGGTTTAGGGTTTACGTCACCGCACCGCAACCCGAGACCGCCTGGTCAGCTGCAGCATATCTATCTTCATTTCTTAGAGCTAGCAGCCCGTAAACCCTAAACCCTAAACCCTAAACCCTCGTAGATTTCTGCTGCTTCTCACTTTGCTTCCTCTGCGCTTGTTCCTGCCTCTTTACAGCAGCAGCAACAGCAGCAGCAGCAGCAGCAGCAGCAGCAGCAGCAGCTCGCCCACCCTGCAGCACAGCAAGGGCCCCCTACCCTCTTCTGATTTTTTGGGGCCTCAGGGGCCCGGGGGCCCCCCGCACCCTCATACCCTCTCATATATGTTTCTGGTTGCAGGGGGAAGCTGAGCTGGGGGCCCCCTACAGCCAGTTGACTGCAGCAGCAGCAGCAGCAGCAGCAGCAGCAGCAGCAGTGGCAGCAGCAGCTGCAGCAACAGCTGCAGCAGCAGCAGCAGCAACAGCAGTAGCAACAACTTCTGCTGCTGTACCCTTCTTCTCTTACACCAGCGACGCCTGCTGCTCGGGGGCCTCCAGGGGGGCACCAGGGGCCCCCAAGCCTTTAGGGGCCCCCTGACACTTGTGCTGCTGCTGTGCTGTGCTGCAGTGCAGCGCCTGCTGCCGTAGCTGCTGCTGTCGCTGCTGCTGCTGCTGCTGCTGCTGCTGCTGCTGCTGCAGCAACAACCTCCATGGAGGCCCTCTCCCCCCAGGCGGGGGGCCCCAACGTCAACGGGCCGCCTTCAGCTGCAGAGCAAAGCAGCAGCAGCAGCAGCAGCAGCAGCAGCAGTAGCAGCAGCAGCAGCAGCAGCAACATTATTAACCAGGAGCGACAGCAGCAACAACCACCGACACCACATCATCAGCAGCAGCAGCATCAAGACCAACAGCAACAACAGCAGCAACAGCAGCAGCAGCAGCAGCAGCAGCAGCATCACCATCAACCTCAGCAGCAGCGTGCATTTGTATCAGCAAGCGATGGTATGAATGAGGGTGGTGATGGGGGCCCCC